CAGAATGAACCGAACTGGTTATCCGGGCGGACCGGGACCAGCAAAGTCATACCGGAGGTACAATTCGGTATATCAATGAAAAGACTGAAAGAAAATATATAATTAAATATAAAAGACTACGCAAGCGGAAATGCATGTATAGTAAATAAACTATATAAATGCATGTGATTGGGGTAGCTGGCATGGCACTAGCGTTAATTCGGAAGGGTTCGGATTAACGTTTAGCGCATGATTGTAGAAACGAGCGTTTGTGAATGAATGCACGTTGATTGCGAGATTGCGTCCCATCTATGGGCCATCCGATCCGGGTCGGATGTCACCTATATGGGATATGATTGTGAATGTGGCGATGATATGATCGCGCCAATGTCCGAACGATAGGACGGTTATGGGCACCCCGATGACTTGCGTGGATAGCCGATTGTAGTCGGTACTATTGCGTGACGAGGAACATACGGTTTTTAGAACCGCGCCAACGTTTCCGTTAGCGACGAAACGGACCCCGGGATATGAGTATCCCGAGGATGAGGGCATCACACATACCTGAGATTCGGGTAGATTGGAGTCTCCCGAGGAGGTGGTACGGACTTACTCTGCCAGGTTCGGGCATGAACCTGACAAGTATTTTCGCGGCGGATGGTCGGCGAGGGAGAGTTGCAGCGATTGGCTCTCTCGTTATAGTCGATGGCGACGATTGTAGCCGATGTCTGGTGAGCTCCGGTATTGAGAAGTGACATCAATGCCGGAGTCGGGTGACACGCCTAGTATCGAGAGGTGACATCGATCCTAGGGTGGGGTGATGTGTTCGGGTGGAGAAAATAAAAAGATACTTATGCCGGATTCCGAGTGGTTGCGGAGTAGATGGATTCCAGGAGAGAGGCGGTTGTGCTATGCACATGGGGAGTACATTACCTACGCATGGTGCGCATAGAGACGATTTGACGGACTCTGTCCTGCGACTTGTCGTATGGACTTGATTGTGATTGTTTCGTGTTTACAGTGATTTCCTGTTTTCAATTCTTGTTTATTAGAATACTAGTGTATATATATATATATATGTATGTGCTTTCCCTGACACCATGAGAATGAAACAATCCGGGTTACGCCCAAGTTCACTCTCTAAGCAATTAGCTTAGGACGTTGTTACGCAACGTTTCAGGTCGCGTGCAGCAGTAGTCGATGAGCGGACATCGGAGACCTGGGTAGTGCACATCTACCGATCATGTATAATTACGTATTTTGATACATTTATATTTTGGGGAACGTTTTGTTTATATCGGTGGTAGACTTTAAGGTTTGAAATAATTTTATCACTACCACTTGATTATATATAATTATAATTGGAAATAATGTATCATATATGTATGTACGAGTGTTTTCTTCCGCTAACTCTGAAAAGAAAAGTTTTAAATTCCCGCGGATTTTATGAAATTATGATTTTATTTTACTTGTCCATGTGACGTAACTCGTATTGGGGGATGCGGATTTCGGGTGTTACAGTTAACCCATTAAACCCATTATGTATTTAGTTAAAATTAACTCATTTTGTAACTAATTAAAATTTTTATATTTATTTATATAAAAATTAATATATATATATATTAAATCGAAATATTTGATCTCGTTTTCGAATCAAATCGTACCGAAAATTTCGGTTTTGTTTTCGAATCGAAGTGTATCAAAAAATTCGAATCGTGTCAAAAAATTCGACATTGCTCCTAATCGAACCGAAAAAATTGGTTTTGTTTCTGAATCGAATCGTATCGAAAAACTCGGTGGCATTTCCGAATGAATCATGCCGAAAAATTCGAATCATATAAAAAAATCGGTACCGTTCTGAATCGAATCGTACCGAAAAACTCGATGTCGTTTTCGCATCGAATCGTGCTGAAAAATTCGAATCGTATAAAAAACTCAGTACCATTCTGAATCGAATTGTACCGAAAAACTCGGCGTTGTTTTCGCATCGAATTATGCCGAAAAATTCGAATCATATAAAAAACTCGGTACCGTTCTGAATCGAATCGTACCGAAAAACTCGGTGTCGTTTTTGCATCGAATCGTACCGAAAAATTCGAATCATATAAAAAATTCGGTACCGTTCCGAATCGAATTGTACCGAAAAACTCGGTGGTATTTCCGAATCGAATCATGCCGAAAAATTCGAATCGTATAAAAAATTCGATACTGTTCCGAATCGAGACGTATCAAAAAATTCGAATCATACCGAAAACTCGACACCATTTCTGGATCGAATCGTATTGAAAAAATCGGTGTCGTTTTCGAAACGAACCGTTAAAAAAATCTAAACGACAATATTTTTAAAACATCGAATCGAATTTAAAAAATAAAAAAAGTATGATTTTTTTAAAGAAATGTATAATTTTTTTTATAACCTATCGAATTTTGTATATATTTTTATTGAATCGATAAATCGAATATTAAAATGATAATTTTTAGGTTATATGAGTATACATATTAATAGTTATACATATGTATAAGTAATTTGTGAATATATAAATGGGTTTATATGGTTTATACGGGTTTAACGGGTCGACCCAACCCAACCCACTATTATTAACGGGTCGACCCAACCCAACCCGTTTATCCTTCAAATCTAAATGGGTTGGACCTAAATGGGTTGGGCGAACCCAATTGACATCACTATTTGTTAGTAGAATTTTTATTTTTATTAAAAATAATTATATAAATTATCCTAAAGACAAAAATGTCCATCATTTTAAAAATAATTTCACATTATACCCATGTCTATATAAATACCACATTCTTACCATTTTTACCATAACTCATATTTGAAAGAGTTTTTATAAAAGAACAAACTTATAAGAGGTATGTAATTCAAAATCTTTATTCAAAATATATATTAGTCATCTTATATCTATAGTTATATATATATATACATATACATATATATACATGTAGATATACATATTAATGTTGAATATATATATATATATATTGAAACATTATAAATATAATATATATATATATATGTATATGTATTTGAACAATATAAATAGTATATATATATACTTACACATAGATATACGTATGTGAATATATATATATAATATGTATATATACATGTATGTATATATACATACTAATTATACATAAATACATATATATACACATTATTTTTAAATATATATATATATTTATATTATTTATATACGAAATGAAAAATATAACTTATGTCTTTTTACAGTACAAACATGGTGAATTCAAAGGGATAATCGTCATATGTCAGAGAGGTATATATTCTATAAATATATCTTTATTATAATATAATATTTTTTTGTATCGTTGATTGGTGTATGTAATAATGTTTTTTTAAGGTGATGATACAATGGACCGATAGATTGGTCAATATTTTTCTTGAATCTATACGAGAAAGAGTTGGATCGCACGGGATGACGTAGTCAAAATCTTAAAAAGAAAGTAAGATGAGAATAATCGAGACCTTTCGAGAGTCCACAGATTATAATTTAGATTGGAAAAAATTTAAAAATAAATATTATTCGATTAAAAAACAATCGTCAATTGATTCGGAAGACTGGAGTCGCACTTCATCCCAATACACAAGTCATCAACATGGATGATGCATGGTGGAATGATCGTATTAAGGTAATTTCTATATAATTCTTATCATTATATACATATTCTCAAATTTAAAATCTAGACACGATAAATATATTTATTTAACATTTTTTTATATTTTTTTTATAAGAAATACCGGATGTTGCAAAACTTCGAGCACACTCGTTTACCGATATCGATATATTAGATCGAATATTTGCAAATAAGCACATTGGTACTGATGATGGATATTATCCGGGAGTAGGAGTGGATCAACATGTCGAATCAGAAAACCTAAGTGAAAATCTGCCAAAGACAGAAGACATCAACGATGATTCCGATGTGCCACTAGATAATATATCCAAGGGTCGAAACGGTTATATGGTAAATCTTCACACTCTTCTTCGTCATCACGTAAACGTTCAACATCAAAAGTTCCGTTCGATTATATGACTAATTAAGCTTAAATGAAGCGGACAGAAATATATGAACGTTTACATGATGATAAATTAGAGCGTGCAATTAACTCATTGGTTACCTTACCCCGATATTATTTATAACTCGTCTTTATATTGGGAGGCAATAAACGTATTCCAAAGCAACGAGGCACATGCTCGTATTTATTTGACTTTGCCAGATGAGGAAGCTCGCGTTTCTTATCTAGAGCGCATGATAGGAATCAAACGGACGGATGTTTAGATTGATCGAGGAACTACTATATAAATAAATTATTTTTTATGTTTTCATATTATCTAATAAGTATTTTTTTTATCTTGATTTTACATTTTTATGTTTTTTTGTTATCAAATAAGTATTTGTTATCATTTCAAGCTTATTTATTTACATGTTTAAAATCTTTAGATCATATGTTATTAATTTAATATAACTTTTTATATTCATCGGATGCAAATGTTGTATAGAATAATTGAAGAAGATGATGTTAGCATCTTCTTTGAAGAGTCATACATAGATCCTTTTTCAGAGAGTATGCCAAGACAATTGACAAATCTAGATAAAAAAACGTGGACGACAATATGTCCATGAATTAATTCACGGTCACGAAGAACAATGCTACAATATGATCAGGATGTATCCACCGGTCTTCATATCATTATGTCAAAAGTTAGAGAGCGACTATGATTTGAAGGGAACCGATGCAATCAGCATCGAGGAAAGTGTGGCCATTTTTCTTAATATTTGCGCTCAAAACATAACGCAGAGGTATGCTGGAAAGGTATTTGGTCATGCACAGGAGACTGTGGGTCGAAAATTTCACGAAGTTTTAGATACTCTCGAACGTATGGCCGTTGATTTACTTAAGCCTAAACCAGAACCTCATCCGAAATTGTAATCAGATAGAAGTTTTTGGCCGTATTTTAGAGGTTTCATTGGTGCATTAGATGGGACTCATATCCCTATTACTGTTGGAGGACATGATGCACAACGATATTGGAATCGGAAGAGTGATACTAGGCAAACTACCGAAAAATTGCAGCGTCAATACTTGTTCCTGGATCTGCTCATGATGCAAAGGTTCTCGCATTAGCCATGGAGGGCAATCATAATTTTCCAATTCCCCTATTGGAAAGTATTATTTAGGTGATTCAGGTTATGCTCTTCGACCCGGTTTTCTCACACCGTATCGGGGAGAGAGGTATCACCCTGATCAACACAGTACATCACGCCAACCTACTAGTTATAAAGAAATGTTTAACAAGAAGCATTCTTCCCTTAGATTAGTAATCGGGCAAACTTTCGGAATATGGAAGGCGAAATGACGAGTTTTGAAAGAAAAACCAAGGTACAATATACGGGTCCAATGAAAGGTTGTGGCGGCTACAATGGCACTGCATAATTTTATTCGTTTATCAAACTTACAAGATATTGATTTTGAGGCAGAATCCGTTGAAGAAAGTAATGCAACAAATGAAGATGATTCATCAGATGATGAAAATGATGAAGAAAACCAGAACGATGCTTTGATTAGGTATATGGAGGGAATCCGAGATGAAATTGTAGCGACATTATGAGATTCTCGATATTCATTTTTTTATTATTGTTGTTACTAATATTAATAAATATGATTTTTGTTTTAATAATAAATACCCTTTTTGGTAATTTTTAAATATAAAATCTAAAACCAAAAGCTAAAACATTATTTTTACCAATCAAGTTTTCTAAAAACTGTAAAACTTATAAAAGCCAAAAAACCAAAAATTAAAAACCAAAAACCAAAAAACTAAAGCAAAAAACCCAAAATAAAAACTACTCTCATTCAATCCCATTGAACCCCTTAGTAATTTGAATGTATACATAATAACAAATTCAATTTACCAATTTGATACATATAATTTAAATTTATTTCAACAAATCTTTTAGACCTCATTAACTTCAAATCTTAACGAAAAACACTATTAGGCTTGTATTTCTTTCTACCATTTCCTTAACAAAAATAATATTTTCAAATAGCAGGTTTGTTCTCTTTATATTTTTATGTTCAACATAATATTGTTAAATTTTTATCTCTCTATATATATATGCATGCTCGCACCTATCTTATACACACGTTTTATGTATATAAAAATAGAGTTTTATATATATATATATATATTTATATATATAAAATAGAGTCAGATTTACACGTATTTATATTTTTTAGATTTTTCATGATTTTAATTTTCATCACAATAAATCAGAAACCAAACATGTCAATTTATTAGTGTTAGTAATTTTTAAAATCTTAATATACATAACCTTTCATAGTTGTGCGCCAGACTTTTTTTGGATAATCAGAACAGTTGCAAGTATGAGCGTTGTTGGTCATTCTGATAAAAAAGTGGATGTCAAACTTGGACACAAGGTATATTTTTATTTTAATTTCCACATTATTAGCTATATTAAAGTTTTTATCATAAATATGAATAGGAATCAATACTGTTTGATAAATTTATATCACTGAATAAAAATAATCAAGTTTTTGCAGTTGTGGCTTTGAAAAAAATATATTATTATTTACTTCAATAAAATTATTCGTAGCAATGATTACAAATTACAATACAAATTCGTCATGTTTCTGTTTAATTAATTTGAAGTTTTTTTCCCTTTGATTTTATAAAAACTATATTTTGGTTCTCTTCCCATTTCCCTTAGTAAACTTTTATAAAAAAAATTAGGATTTAAAATTTCCCTATTTTATAAGATTTAGATATTTTATTTTTACTATATTTTGGTTTACTTCTCATTTTATTTTACTAAACTTTGATTAAAATAATATTTATGATTTATATTTTTCATATTTTGTTAGGATTTAGATAATCTAATTTTTTAATATATATCCAATTGATATAATCAAAATGGGTTATTGAATTTTGTATCAATAAAAGTATATGTAGTTTATTCAACTCCATATACCTTTAGATTTGCGAATTCAAATGGTGTCAATGCTAAAATATTATTTTTCATCATAATCTTTGCTGTAGAAAAATTTTGGTTACTCAACATTGGATCAACTTGATAGAAATCACAGTTTATGGCAACTAGTTGTCCGTGTTATCCGTTCTTGGGAATCGAGGAACACTAAACGTGATGGAATATTGATGAGTTTTGATATGCTTCTTTTGGATGAAAAGGTGCATTTCCTTCTTTTATTTCTTTATAAACTTAGATATGATATAGATTTCACAATCCAACTGTATATCAATTTATTTATTTTTAAAATAAAAATCTAACTTCAAGTTTGGGTTTCTTTGTCGTTTATACAAGATTTTGTAATACAAGCCTCTATCGATGCGAAAGAAGCTGACAAATTCAAAAACGTCTTGGCAGTTGGAAAAGTATTTAGAATCAATAATTTTGTTGTTGATCGTTCTTATAAAAAATACAGGCTCAGGGATAACAACTTGATGATCCGCTTTAATGGGAGAACAACAATTCTGCAACAAGAGGAGAAGGACTTTGGGATAAAGTTTGAGAAATTTAGATTTCGTGATTACGGAACTTTGTTTGCTTTGGCTGATAAAGAAGAAGAATTACCAGGTACAAAATTCTTTCAATGACAAATATGATCCATGTAGTAGATATGATCCTATTATTATATTGGATAAAATTACGAACAAATTATTATGTATTTTGTGATACATTTTCTCACGATACTGAAACATAATTTACGATTTTATATAAAAATTGTGAATATTCCTTCAATTTATATATCTATCGTTAAAATAAAAAAATTTGAAGTGGTTTTGACTATGTAGACTTTTCAACTAACTTAATATCCAACGCATGATATATTTTGGTATTTAATTCCATTATGTGAATTATATTTTCAAATTCATAGTGGTAAAACTGACTATGTTACTATATTTTTATTCTGTTTTATATGTATTTTTTTTTTGTTTCTACTCTTCATTTTGTAATATTTACATAAATTTATGTTTAATTGTTTTATTTATACCCCTACCGTTTATGAATGTTATATGTGAGTTTGATCGAGCTTAATAATTTTGTATACTTATAGTATTGATTCTATACGTAACATGTTTGTTTTTTTGTAGATATCATTGGTTATCTTTCTCAAGTTGATTTCAATGGTTACGGTGAACAAAGTAAATGGAAAAGAATTGTGATCCATTTTATCTCGGAGGAGTAAGTTTATTATACAATATATATATATATATATATATATATAATACCAATGTGTAATTATTGTGATTAGACATTTAACATGTTATAAAAAGTTATGTAACTTGACAATTTCTTCGTCATTGTATAGTGGTTTCAAAGTGAAGGTATCTGTCTTGAATGATATGACAGATATCTTGTATGGAAAACTTGAGAAGAATCATGATGACTATATTGTGGTTATCGTAATGGGTGTAAACCCGAAATTATTTAGGGGTGTTATAATTTTATTAATAACACTTTATTTTTGCTTATTTAGATATGATTTTTATTTATGACGTTTTTGTAGAATCTAACGGGTGAATTGCAGCTAAACACTACCTCTTCAACTGACATCTATCTCAATAATGATAGCGATGTTGTTCATAGTTTTCGTGGAAGGTGTGTATTCTGATTAATAATTTTTTCAGGTTTTTTATATATTAAAATGACACATATTTATGTTACGCAGCGTTACTCTGCATATTTTCCAAAGCAAAAGTGGCAAAAAAAATTATGGTGGAGAAACAATGGAACAGTTCAACATATCTGAAATATGTCATTTTATCCTCAGCAATGAACCTCAGATAATGTTAAAAATTAATACTTTACATTTACAAATAATTAAAATATATTTCATTATATTTAAACCACTATGGCTACACCAAAGCCAACATGAATATATGTCAATCTAAACCACTTTGGCGACATGAATATATGTTCAATGTTATACCGATATTCGATTTGATAAAAGACAATATTGGTAATCAGTATAATAATTTTCATAGGGATACATATACATTTGGTTCGAACTCTTCCAATTGATTACAAAACACTCTTTTATTGAAACTATTTCGTCGCTATATCATTTTTTGGATGATTCCGAAAATCTTAAGATTCTTTGGAAAGTTGAAATAAATTATTATTGTATAATAATTGTTTTACAATATACATAGGATAAGGAGTTGTACATCCAAGCTAAAGTGGTTGAAGTTCTATTTCAAAATGGCTGGAATTATATATCTTGTGCCAAGTGCTCTCGCTTGCTGGAAAAAGATGAATCTACCCTTTTGTGTGGCAATTGTGACAACAACCAAGCAGTGGGTGTTTTGAGGTGATGTATTACCAAAAAACTTTTAAATTTTTTAATCGATATAATAGATAATCTATAGTTATTTGATCGTTATTTCAGATTTCGTCTCGAGTGTACTGTAGATGACGGAGAAGACACAACAACTTTTGTTATATTTGACCGAGATGCGACGAAGATTACTAATATTACCGCTTCCGATATCAAGTGTGACAATGTTAGTGTTTATAAATTTAATTAGTTTGCATGCAAATTCTCTTTATTATATAATTAAAATTGCATTAAATTTGTCCTTATTATAAACAATTATAACCAACTAAATATTTTTAAATGTGACGCAGGACTCTGATATGGAATAATCATTGTTTATCCAATTTTGCATACTTAATATGTTAAATTTTGCAGACATGCCTAAAGTTCAAAAGTAGAGGCAAGGACTGAAGAGGATTGTTGTTGATTTTTTTTTTCATATGTTAAATTATGATAGTACATTTTTCCAAAAAAAAAATTAAATTTATCAATATTTTTTTGCGTAATCTATTCATTTGAACAGGAAGAACGTGAGTTAGACTATCGATGAAGAAAGATGCTTGATAATAAAATGAAGAGACCTACAATGGAAGTTTCTTGGGATATGTCTATTCGATTATTAGTGTTTAGTTTAACACAATGGATTGGATTGTAGAATACTTAGATTTATGTCGTAGTCATGAACTATGTTTGGATTTTTTTTTTTAAAGAATGTCTTACACAATGTATTTGATTTTGTGATATATATATTTATCAAATAATCATGTTCAGTTCATATCTATGTTTCATATTAATTCAGATCTCTTATATACAATCTATGTTTTATTCTTTTATAGATGTCGCGAAGCACATTATATCGAGGTTTTGTATAGTAAAATCAAACCCCTATTACATATTCAAATAACTTTAATATTTGTAAATGTAATTATCATTGGTATACATTTACGTAATAAGTATGATTTTTGGGTGAAACTCAATTTTAGTATGATAGAGATAAAG